GTGTTAGCTCAGTTAGCTTTATAATGTGTTCATAGGCAACAAAATTTCCATAAATGTTCTTGCTCCTTTTATAGTCTAGGTTCTTTTCTTTCTTTCTTTTTCTTTCTTTCTTTCTTTCTTTCTTTCTTTCTTTCTTTCTTTCTTTCTTTCTTTTCTCTTTCTTTCTTTCTTTCTTTCTTTCTTTCTTTCTTTCTTTCTTTCTTTCTTTCTTTCTTTCTTTCTTTCTAAAAAAAATCTTTCTTTCTTTCTTTTTCTGAGACAGGGTCTCCCTGTAGCCCCAGCTGACCTGGAACTCACTATATAGACTAGGCTGGCCTCAAACTGATAGAGATCCACCTGCCTCTGCCTCCTAAGTGCTGGGATTAAAGGCATACAACACCATGCTTGGCTTCTGATTTACTTTTTAGATGAGTAACTACTAATAAGCTAACAAATCAATGAGACAGGGTTTCACTAGACCACATGTGCTCAAACTCAGAGATTCACCTGCCTCTGCATCCCAAATGCCAGGATTAAAGGCACATGCTATAGCTCCTGGCAAAACAAATCTTTTATATGCATGGTATGTTTACATGTGCATGTGTATGCATGTGTGTGTGGAAGCCAAGGGTCAATGTTATGTGTCTTTATCACTTGCCACCTTATTTTTTGGAGACAGGGTTTCTCCCTGAACCTGGAGCTCAAGTTCAAGGCATCTGTGCTCCCCACCTCCTGCCATAAAAGATACTGATGAGAAATGACTTTTTCAAGATCAAAGTAGAATGAGACTGGAGAGATGGTTCATCAGTTAAGAGCACTTGCTGCTCTTCCAGAGAAGTCAAATTCAGTTCCAAGCACACATCTGGCACTCCACAACTACCTATAACTCCAGCTCCAGGGAATCTGACTTCCTCTTCTGGCATCCTTGGGGCCCTGCACACACATGGTACACACAAACACACACACACACAGACACACACACACACACACACACACCCTTACCTTGATCTTTTTTAAAAAAATTATTTTTATGGGGCTGGAGAGATGGCTCAGCAGTTAAGAACACTGGCTGCTCTTGCAAAAGACCCAGGTTCAAATTCCAGCACCCACATGATAGTTCATAAACATATATAACTCCAGTTTCAGGGAATCAAACACCCTCTTCTGTCCTCTGTGGGCACTGCATGACGCAGGTACACTCACATGCAGGTATAACACTCATATTCATAAAATAAAAATAATTTTTTAAAGACCAAGGTAAAACTACAAAACAAAAAATCATAAGTAAATATATTTTAATATTTGAGAATGAATTTTGGACACAGAAACAGAAGTATTCAGAAGTAATTCTCAGGCCAGGCATGGTGGTACATGCCTTGAATCCCAGTACTTTAGAGGCAGAGACAGGTAGATCACTGTGAAATCAAGGCCAGTCTATATAGTGAGTCCAAGCCAGCTGGGACTACAGGGAGACCCTGTCTCAAACATAGAAGGGGCTGGAGAGATGTTTCAATGGTTAAGAGCACTGGCTGCTCTTGCAGAAGACCCAGGTTCAATTCCCAACACCTATATGGGGGCTAACAACCATCTGTAGCTCCAGTTCTAGGGAATTCAACACCTTCTTCTGACTTCCTCGGGCACTGCACAACACAGATGCATTTACACAAGCAATACACTTATACACATAAAAAATAAAAATAATAAAAATAGGATGGAGGGGTTGGAGAGATGGCTCAGTGGTGTAAGAATACCTTCTGTTCTTGCAGAAGACCTGAGTTCAATTCCCAGGACCCACATGGCAGTTCATAAGTGTCCATAACTCCAGTTCCAGGGGATCTGTCACCCAATTCTGGCTTCCATATGCACCAGGCATGCATGTGGTACACATACATAATACATGTAGGTGAAACACTCATAAAATAAAAATAAATAAAAATTTAAAAGGTAGAGCCAGGGATTGTGGCAGAAACCTTTAATCCCAGCACTTGGGAGGCATAGGCAGGTGGATCTCTGTGAGTTCCACATCAGCCTGGTCTACATAGCAAATTACAGGCCAGCCAAGTGACATAGGGAGACCCTGTCTCAAAAAGGAAAAAAAAAATTAGGTGGAGAGTGATAGAGAAAACACACGACATTGACCACTGCCCCCCCCCCCAAATGTATATCACACAGACCTTGAACTTCTGATCTTCTACCTCCTGAGTGTTGAGATTAAAGCATGCACCACTATCCCCATTTTATATGGTGTGCGGGGCATTGAATGAACCCAGGGTTTCTTGCATGCTAGGCAAGCACTGTAGTAACTGAGCTACACACCCTGTATGCTGAATTTACTGGGGATTTTCTCCATGAGATTATACTGCAAATCATGAATTTGTTTTCCAAGGCTGGCTGAGCTAAGTCACCTGGATGTGTGTTCTACCACAGATGTGTTTGAAATTGGGTTTTATACCTTCTGACATTTCACTGGGGATTCTACATTGCTTTCCTCTGCACTTTTCCTGAGCTTAGCTCTCAACTAATTCTCTTCAGTGATACTGAGGACACACATGCCACATTCAGAAACCCTCCCTGGAGAAGTGATTTGAGTTTGTAAAAGGTAAGCTTGAAGGAACCTGTAGAAACGTCCGTCCTTTCTTTCTTTCTTTTCTTTCTTTCTTTCTTTCTTTCTTTCTTTCTTTCTTTCTTTCTTTCTTTCTTTCTTTCTTTCTTTCTTTCTTTCTTTCTCATCCTTGTACATCTTATTTACCACAGAAGAAAATGTTCCTTTGTTTCTTTCTTTGACCCAGGATCTCACGTAGCCCTAGCTGGCCTCAAACTTGCTATGTAGCCAAGGCTGGCCTTCAACTACCGCCCAAGTCCTAGGATTACAGGTGTGGGCTACCACAGCTGGCTTTTAATCTTTCCAAGTGACTCAAACCCAAACTGGGCTTCTGAGAATTGTAGCATGAAATTCCAAAACACATTCTTTTTAAACGTAAAAATATCAAGCTTGACTAGTACCAACCTGGAAGCTTCATCCCTATTATCTGGCTTTCATAGTGCTAGAAGGTGTTGTGCATGCTCCTGGGGGGAGAAAAGTAATGACCTTACTGGTAACCTTACCCAGCTATGAACTCTGTTACAAAATGACAGGCCTGGCAAGCTAGGCCCACTAATACAACAATGGCATGAATGTTGTGGGGGTAACCAACCACTTTCTGATTTGATTTAAAGCCCACTCCACAAGATGGGACTCATGCCTGGTACAGTTAACTGGGTCAGAAACCTGTGGCTGTGTAGCTCATAGACCCTAAGAGGGAACCTATTATTCTGCTAGCTGGACATAGTATTAATACCCCCCTAAATACTTATCTTTATATCCACAGACTAGAGCAGCTCTCAGTCCTCATCAATATGTCCTTTTGGCAATAGATGATTATTAAAATGGAGAGAATGAGTCTATGGAGTGCTCAGTTCTATACAGGACATATATACCACAACCTCTTCCCCAAAGTCAGGAATCTCAGAAGCGAGGATGGGAAGACTGAAAGAGCCAGAGGTAGTGCATGACTGCTGTGAAACAGTGTTTTCTGGACATGACAGGGCCATTTCACATATGAATGCACAGCAGCTGTGACTTCGTGCACAAGACTTGTACAGGATCAAGCCAGTTAAAACCCCAGCATGAATGGGGAAGGACTCACAAAGTCCCACTCCTAACTGAGGAGTTGTTGGCAACTAATGGCTGCTGAGGGAGGGGGAGTCAGTTTTCATTAGGGATGTAGTTCCTGAGAGCCTTCCAGTGCTCCAGTACACGACCCTACACTTATGCAAATATTGGCAGCACTAAGTAGATTTAGTGGGTTTAAAAAAAAATCATAAAGTAGCAAGAGGAAAGTGTTTGTGAGGATAGGGAAGGAGGGGGAGGGGAGGAAATGGGGATGGATTTGATCAAAACACATTATATTGCATGTATGAAATTCGTAAACAAAAAAGGACAAACGAGCTAAGTTGATGTTTACGATGAGTAGAAAAGGTAAATTTTGGGAGCATGTGACCTCACCTAAAGGTAAAGGTAGAGATCTGGAATGGTGCCGGGGTAAAGGATTGTGGTGTGCTGAGAAGGTGAGGAAGGGATGTGAACTTTCTTCTTACTCATTTCTAATTGTCTAATATTTCACTGAGTATGTAAATTCTTCAAAATCATCTGGGAAACATGTCACTCCTTCACAAAGAATCCTTACCGATCTTGATGGCATTTAAAGTCCAGAAACTGCTACATTCACAGTTTGGCTCTGCGGAGAGTTCCTTCACCACACGCTCCTTAGGTATCACATCTGTGCTGAGCACTGGAGGTTACCAAGATGGGCAATGCCTGGTCCATGATGGGGTGGAATCCACGGCAGAACACGGGTAAAAGGCCCAGAACTTGGAAAAAAGAGGCAGCAGCACCTGTGGCGATAGACCAGCTCTCTCACTTGACTCATAACTGGCTTTCTTTAGGGTTCATCTATTGGCTGTATAAAATGGCAGGTGTCATTCTTTAAATGTTAGATTTAGAAATAAGACTAGCTAATACAGCCAAGCAGGTTATCACTGGGGAAAGATAAGTCCCCTGAATACACACCCACCGGGGTACACAGATATCTCTTTTCTGGAGTTTCTGCTGAGCAATGTAGATTTGAGGACAAAGGGCAGGTGATGACTTTGAACCAAATTTTACCTTTCAACTGAAACCCAGGAAATAATGTGCGAGAGTGGAGGACGATGCAAAGTGCTATGTTGGACACTAAATTGCACTTCCTTTCCAACCAACTTCACGTTTCCAAAATGTTGATGCTACAAATGTTGGACGCCAAGCTTACCTGACGCTGGGAGCCCGCCTCGCACTGCCGAACTGGCTGGGCAGGCGACCTCCTGCACTCCTCCGGCAGGCAGTCCCCCGCGCGCACGCGCGCTCGCCAGGCGGCTTCAGAGCCTCGAGGTTTCAGTAGCGCGGTCTACAACTCCAGGGGGCGGGGCTGGGAGGCGCTCCCGACCACGTGACCGGAGCCAACATGGCGGCGCCCTGCAGTCTCTACCTGCTCTTCGGCCGAGGTAAGCGTCCCAGGACTGCTTCCCGAGGACCCGCTTGCCCCGTCGCTGTTCTGCGCGCCGGGGTTCCGAGACACTGGTCCATGCGCAGACCCGGCGCGGCAGCGCGCTTTCTGTCAGATCCACACTCACGGTGACACATTGGACACCGCAGAAACGCAGACACGTTGGTTCATTCCTTACTCTCCCAGACTAGGTCGCTGCGTGGTTAGTGCTTGAGATTTACCCGCGGTTGTCTGAAGTTTTCTTCCTCAGCTTTACTGGCGTAGTGTTACAAACATGTATACCAGCGGCGGAGCAGCAAAACCCGTGGCGACTGTGAAACGCGCCTGGATACTCAGTTGCCTTCTCTAGAGCTGTTCTGTTGGCATGTCTTTGTGAGAAACTTGCAAAAATGTGATTACTCTCTTGCAATGACCTAAGATAACAAATGATGTCTGGGTAATTCCAAATAGTAAGTGTTATCTTGAGTGTTGAGATTTTAGTTAAATACACAAATGCCTTTGCAGGTGACTGTTGAATTAAAAACAAGTTCTGATTCTTTGCTGGAAAGAACTTGGAAATTGATTGAAGGAAAGAGGAGCATTAAGGACGCGAGAGTGACTTAGGTGTCAGAAACACAGGAACGATCTTATGATGTAAATATTGTTTTCATAGTAATACCTAGCACTACGTGCCTTTCAAGTACATTGATACTGTGTTAAGCATCTCATATACAGTGCTACCTTTAAAAACCCAATGGATTGGGAGTTATTTGCTCTTTGCAGAGGGGAAAAGTGAAACTTCAAAGATAAAGTAACATGCCAAAGGTCACCTAGATGGTTAGAAGCAAAAATGCTTTTGAATACTAATTCTTTTAAAGACTCATTCCCAGGACTACATAGGATGGTCTGTCCATAGAAATTACTATGCAAAGTTCAAGTCATGGAAGGAAGGTGTTTTTAGAAAGTGTTGGTGGACAGATAGACTTCAGTATTTCAGTGTGTGTAGAGATGAGTAAGGAGCCATTGGAAGATTTGGTGAGGGGGTTTAAGAACAAACAATGTGGGAAGCATTTTCAACTGGTTGTATGGGAGAATGGTGGTCACCATAAGACTGCAGCCTTGTGAAAGGAGAGTCAGTATACGGAGCAAAGCCTAGGCTCTAGTCCAAACTCTATTTACAAGTTACTTTTCTATTTCCTTTTTTGACAAGAAATAATGTGATTAGACTTTGGATTTGTGCACTGCAGATAATGGTAAAAGGATCTAGGGAGATAAAGTGGAGGAGTCAAAAAACATATTTGGGTCTATATACATATGAATATATTTGTATGTATTTTACATGTATGCAAATATTATACAAAATTTCTTTGCAGATTGCAGATACGGCATAATAATCCTTTCGTTCCTTGTCACTTACAATTTTGGCAAGTACTGACTTAGATTTTAGAAAAAGCTACCATGGGGAAACTAGGCTGTTAATGGTCCCTATAACAAATCCCACCATATCCAACAGTCCTGTAACACAAGAGGGATCTTCTGATTAGAAAAAGAAGGGAGGGGGATGGAGAGATGGCTCAGCTGTTAAGAGCACTGACTGCTTTTGCAGAGGACCTGGGTTTGATTCCCAGCACCCACATGGCGGCTATGAACCATCCTTAACTCCAGTTCCAGGGGAACCTGAAGCCCTCTTCTGACCTCCCCGACATTGCACGACATGGGCGCACTCACATACTTGCAGGCAATACACTCATACACATAAAATAAAAATAATAAAATATTTTTTAAAAAAGAAAAAGAAGGGAAATTTTGTCATTAGGAAAAGATTTTAATGATAGGGAAAGGCCCTTTTCTGGACTTTACTTACCTAGTTTTGGAGACAGGCTTTCCTACCACCTGCTCTCCACCCATCCCGTAAAACGAGGGGCAAATTCGTAGATTATTCTTTCCACTTTTTCTCCCCTTTATTCATCTACAGTGATATAAATCCATCGCAAGTCTTTACGTACCCAGATCCATCTCTTGGAATCAAAAGGGAAGGTACCTAGAGCCTTTTAGGCTCAGACAGAACTATTCTGAGGTTAGCACTAGCAGAAAACCATCCAGAGTGCAGAATTTCTACCCAGGCTCTAGGAGCTCTCTCTCCTAGCTTAGCCTCTCATTTCCAAAGCCCACTTTATTAAAATACTGTTCTAGCTCCTGGAGCCACTGTGCAAGGCCCTTTGCTTGGTGGGTGTAGAAGGCAAGTAAGGTTCACATTTTCTTCTTTACTTCTTTACACCCTTGTATGAGCTAATTTCCCCTGGGTTACCTCTTGTCTGATTTTCTTAGTCTTTCACTAGGGTCTTCTGTCAAGTTTCTCCTGATTATCTTCCCTGCTGAAATGAGAGCTCCTGACAGGCAAGGGTCTTACCTTCTTCATCTTTGTCTCCCCACAGCCTGCAGCACATTGTCTATGCATAGTACATACTCAGTTTCATAACAGAAAGAAAAACCTTCAAACCGCAACTTCATATGGAAATATTTGTGCATAAAATTACATGGTAGGCCTAGTGAGTAACTTATTCCTAAATATTAGTTGTCTTTAAATGACAGGCTAAGATTGTAACTTTCTTCCTGTTTATCTTCCCCTCCCTCCATTTTCCACAAGGAATAATTGAAGGCAGTTTTACTTCACCATGGGGGGGGGCTATAAGAATTTCATTTCAAATAATTTGAACATTGAATTGGACTTTTGGAGATAATTAGAAGATATTAGACTGTGAAAGGTAAAAATAAATAAATAAATAATAAATAAATGCATGAGGTTTAAGCAGTATACCTACAGAAGAGATGAGGTGCAGGAAGCTAATGGAAGTAAATCTTTGGACCTAAACACCCTCCCATTGTTCTGCCATGTGGAAGAAGCTGAAGCTGTGAGGGGAGAGGGAGAAGAGTCTACAAGACTAGCAGAGGGCGTAAGATAAAAGGCTCAGTTGGAAATTATGCAAAATAGTTTGGTTTCTCCAGAGAGAGGACTGTATGGCAGTCTGTATCATGTGTAAAGTATGTATGCCTTTTACCAAATGATTTTGCTTTAAGAGTCAATCGGAGAGCCATGCGTGGTGGCACATGCCTTTAATCCCAGCACTTGGGAGGCAGAGGCAGGTGGATCTCTGTGAATTTGAGACCAGCCTGGTCTACATAGTGAATTCCAGGCCAGCTAAGGCCGTAGGGAGATCCTGTCTCAAAAAGACCAAAAAAATGTTTATCCTAAGCGAACAATAGGATGATTATACAAAGATGTATAAACAATACTGTAACTTTATAATTATGATAATTGGGAAATATTGTACAAAATATGAAATGCTTGTTAGTAAGAGAATGGCTTCATGACAATGGTTCATCTGTGCAATGCAGTGCTAATTAACCACTAAAAAAGATGATGTAGGTATAGTGCACATTTATAGTCATTGACATATACTGAAAAAAAGAGAGGCTCTATTAATTACTCTTCTAATTACTATAAGAAAATACCTGACAAAAGCAATGTAAAGTAGCAAAGGTTTATTGTGGCTCACAGTTTGAGGGTACAGTCCATCATGGTGGGAAGGCATAGGGGCAGGAGTGTGAGGCATTTGATCACATTGCATCCGTATTCAGGAAGCAGAGAGGGGTGGTGCTCAACTTGCTTTCTCCTTTTAAACTTGTTATTCAGTCCAGGACTCCGGCCCATGGAATAGTTCTGCTCACATTCACAGTAGGTCTTCCCTCATTTAAATCTTTCTGGAAACTCCCTCACAGATACACCCAGAGGTGTGTCTCCTAGGTGATTCTAAATTCAGGCAAATTGACAATAAAGATGAACTGACACAGAGGGTGAAATTATATATCAGTATTTCTTTGTTTACATATGTACATAAAAGGAAGATATTTTGGAGCTGGGGGTGCAACTCAGTTGGTAAAGTACTTGCCTAGTATATGCAAGGTCCTGGATTTGATCTCATTGAAATTTTAAGATTTCTGGGTGTAGTATAAAGCATTCAGATCCTCAGTGATACAGGCTATACAGTCCTTTAAAAAAGAGAAGGATGGGGCCGGAGAGATGGCTCAGCGGTTAAGAACACTGGTTGTTCTTGCAGAAGACCCGGATTCGAATCCCAGCACCCACATGGCAGCTAACAACTGTCCATAACTCCAGTCCCAGGAGATCCGACAGCATCTTCTGACCACCGTGGGCATTGCATGACATGGGTGAACTTACCTACATGCAGCAATACATGCATACACATAAAATAAAAAAATAAATAAAATTTTTTTAAAAATAAAAAAAAGAGAGAAGGATATTTGAAATGGTGTTTATCCAAAAATTTGTAATTGTTATTTCTAGATGATAGGCTTGGACTTCATTTTACTATATTTATACTTAATGCAATCTCTTTGTGAAATAGGATAACAATGTATTTGTGTGTAGCTATATAACATACAGAGAATGGTGTACACTGCTCACAGTTTTTGTGAAATAAAATATTCACAATTTTTATGAAATGCCTACATTCTCCAAGTGTTAGAAATCTGTGAAAATGTGGAGTGTCTGTTATATCTCTCAGGGAACTTGGCAAAGATGGGTGAAGAATTATGTGTATGCAGAGCACCATTTGAAGAGCGTCTTGTTTTATACATGGAACAACTTGTTTTTGTGGAGATTGAATTTGCTTTTTTTTAGCCTTTGAATATGAAAAATTTCAAACATACACAAGAGAAAATAGAGGGCTGGAGAGGCGGTTCAGCACCCAGGTTCGGTTCCCAATCTCCACATGGCAGCTAAAAACTATCCATGATTCCAGTTCCAGGGGATCCAACACTCTCTTCTGACCTCTGTGGGCACTGCACGACATGGGTACACTTACATATATGTAGGCAATATACTCATACACATAAGTAAAATATTTTTTAAAAAAGAAAATGCCCCACAGACAGACCCACTGTCTGATGGAGGTCATTTCTCAGTCGAGGTTTCCTCTTCCCAGATGTGTCAAGTTG